AACAGCATCACCTGGTCGAGGGAGGATTTGTGCTATTCCCCTAGGAAAGGATGCTGTGCTTCATGTTGGAGAGGAAGAGCAAAGTGGGTTTTGGTGACCCAGACGGCAGCCAGGCCATAGACTGGCTAGGTACTTCGCACACCATTTCCTCCTCCTGAGTTCTAGCTCCACCTGCACACTGCCCAGGACCCTGGCATCTAGGTGAAGATAGGTGAGCAGTCCTGACCAGGGATGTGTCACAGCCTCGACATGTGTCTTTTCCACCTTGCATTAACCTTCTCTGCTCATGTAGAAGAAAGATGGTTTTGGAACACAAAGGACCTGGGGCGCCAAAGGTGTGGGAAATTGCTCTTTTCCTACTGTGCCTAAATGAGTTGATTATCATTCCTCTAGATTACTGTTTTCTTAAGCACAACATGGCCAGGCATTGTGAGGGAACCAGAGATTGTGCAGGGAGGGAAAGAAAATTTCCTGTCCTGGAGGAGTTTACAGCCTCGTGTGGGAGGTGGTGTACATAAAATGTCAGGTGAAGAGAGGGAAAAGTCGGGTTGGGGTAGGAAGTGCTAGGGGGACTGCTACCTCATGGTGTGGCTGGAAAGGCAATTCTGATGAGTAAATGCACTGCAGAGAGGGAAAGGAGAGAGCGGGGCGTGCCAAACCAGCCCAAGGTGCAGAAGGCAAGGCGGCAGTGTGCCTGGGGACCCCAAAGCTCACCTGATGGGCTGGCCAGAGCAAAGCGGGCTGAACAGCTGAGACAGAATAGGGTGTGGTGGAACAGGTAGTCCTCAGTGGACACAGGACGTCCTCTAGGGGATAGAGGGCCCAAGTGGCAAGTTTGTCATTGCACTGCTGGCAGTATAGCTATGATTTGGCGGTGGGCGTGGAGGTTGACACCATGATGTGCAAGAACAGTCACCCCAATGAGAAACTGACTTGCATCCCACCCAGCTTTCAGATGTCTCAATACTATTTGTGTAGATTGAAAAAAAAAAAGTTTCTAATTATTCTAGCATGGAACTTAACCATATCATAAACAAAGTATTTGACCTGGTTTAATATACATCCAGTTTTTCAGAAATGCAATTACCATTTAAATAAAAGGAAGACTAGAGTTTGTTTTCTTCAAAGATATACCACAACCTAGTCATCATTTTGAACCCCCCCCCCCTTTTTTTGGTACTGGGTATCAAACTCAAGACCTTGCATTTGCTACGCTGGCACTTACACTGCTGAGCTATTTCCCCAACCCTTGAAATTTCTTTCACCAATGATAATGTCATTCCTTGCATCTGAGTCTCTGAGCCCATGGCCCTGGGGGTCCCTTCTGAATGGACAGCCTGTACTCTGCAGGTGACTCTGCAAAATGCCTGTAAGGATTGCCCCCTACCCAGTGCCTTTGCAGCTGGGCCCATCTGTAAGTCTTTGCTTCCATTTGCTTACTTACTGTCCCTTAACACCTGTATCAAGTTTGTATATTTAATTTAATCAATTTGTAGTAGTAGGGTTTGAATCCAGGGCATCATACATGGTAGGCAAGGGTTCTGCCACTGAGTTGCATTCCCAGTCCTTAAATTTTTTTTCCGGGTATGGTGGCATACACCTGTAATAATCCCAACACTTGAGAGGCTGAGGCCAGAGAATCACTGGCAGTTCAAAGCCAATTTGGATTATACTGCAAGCCCAAGACCAGCCTGAACTAAAGAGTGAAACCCTGCCTCAAAAACGCTTTTGAAATAATGTTTTTTAAAAAAATTTAACATAGGGGCTCACTAATTTGCTCAGGTGGGCTTGAACTTTTTTAATACTCCTGCCTCAGCCTCCTGAGTAGTTGGAATTACAGGAATACATAGACCACGCCTGGCTGTGCATTTTATTCATTTGTGTGGGAACTCATTTTTTTCCTTCTGTATCATCAGCCTCAGTCTAAAGGCTCATTGGTATGTGATGACATCCCTGGCAGAGCAGTGTCAGAAGACCCAGTGTGCCAGACTTCCTGGTGAGCTGCTGTTGGGCTGGACCCTGTTCTGGAAGCCTTGCACAGCTGCTGTCCCCCTGGCTTTGGGACCTTTACCAGCCCATGTCCGCCAGCAGATTCTGTGAGCCTAGCCTGACTCACATGGGGAGGTGGGCAGTGAGCTGTTTGCACCAGCTCTGTCAGCCAGTGAGGCATTCATGAGCCATGAAGTTTCCAACAATAAGTCTGCAGACACTTTCAGCCCAGCACCTGCCTTTCTGCTTCTCCCCTGGCTAGCTGCCAGCCAGGGAATCAGTGTTCACAGAAACCCAGCCACAGGGTAGGCAGCCCAGGGCCAGGTCTGCAATCCCAGGGTGCACAAGAGCATCACTGCTGCCTGCAGAACAGAGGCTGACACTCAGATGTGTCTTGTGTGCACAGGTGGACCCAGCCTTGCGACATCTGACCAGACTTTACCTCTGTGCACAACCAGGACCTTTTAAGTAGAAATAACAGAAATCAAACCCTAATAATCTGAGGCAATTCAGCTAGTTTCCTGGGGCTGCTGTAATGAATTAACAGTTTATTCTCATAGTTCTGGAGGACAGAGGTCTAACCCTGAACTACTGACTAGGCCACACTGTGTTCTGTCTGGGATAGCCCTGTCCTCTGTGTGTCCATTCCTGGCTTCTCTTCTCTCTTTTCCCTTCCCCACTCCTCTCCCCTCTTCTTTCTCTTTTTGTCTCTTTCTCTGCATCACTCTTAAAAGAAGACAGATGATTACTGTAATGAGTCAACTCACGTTTTAGATTATAAATGTAAATCTTGTGCTTTCTGTTGTAAATAAATACTCACCACGGTTCTAAGTTGTTTAGTAACTAGTGGCTGTTTCTTGCTATTTACTAAGACAAAATTCCTGTAACCCTCACCAATTCCTGTTACCAAAGTTAGCTTACAGAGAAGACTTCAAAAGGAAATTAAATAGGCTTTAACTTCTTGTAACCTCAGGCTATGCAAGGCTGCCAGCAGGTACTCAGGTGCAAATTAACCAGAAACTAAAACAAAAGCCCCAGAAATGTAGTTTGAGTTGTGGTCCCAATCACTCTGAAAGCATTATTTTGTGTCAGACAATGAATTTGTTTACCAAACTGAATGTGGTCATTCAATGAATTTGCTTATCAAACTCAGTGTAGTTCCAGGGTTTAAAACCCCTTCCTACTTCCTGGGCTGCCGGCCTTTCGGTCCTCTCCTGCGGCCTTTCGGTCCTCTCCTGCGTGAGAGCAGACTGGGGGGCCCTGAGCTCAGTAATAAACGGCTTTCCAAATTCCAACCTGGCTGATCTGGTTCCTATTCTGAGTGACCCATAACAGTTACCTCAAGGAACCCAAGATAGGTAGTAGCTCCTGTCAAGATCTGAACTTGGCCCTGCCTTTTACCATGGAAAGTGATGCTGTCTTTGCCGCTGTAAATGGTAACTCTGCAGGTTCCAGGGATTTGATACAGACTCTCTTTGGGACCAATGACAACCATGGGACAAGCTCATCATTTCAAATAGGCTCTGTTCATGTCATCTTCTGTTCTTTAGAAGAGATATGCCTGTGTTTTTCCATCAAAAATTCTATTGTTTAAGTCATTTCCACTTTATTTATTTATTATTTATTTATTATTTATTTATTTATTTATTTATTTATTTATTTTGCTCCGAATGCCTTCAAGGCATGACTGGCTGGCTTGAGTTGTGGGGATCGAACCACAGCAACCTGAGCCTGACGGCTTTGTTGAAGCAGCCACTTAAAGAACTGAGCTAAGGGGCAGGCCCCCTCCACTTTTTAAAAATACCTATGTTTTACTTTTATCTGTGTTGAAAAGAGACTAGAGTTAAACATGCTTTCACATAAGGAAGTCATTTAGCAAACATTTAACCCCACATCTAAGCCACCAGCCACCATGTGACTGGCAAGCAGGGCAGAGTGATGCGTTCACTGCCCTGTGTCCCCCAACACGTCCCCTGCTCCCCAACCCACACAGCATCCACACTCATGCATGGGCAAGTGATAGAGATGTTCCATTTCCATGAAGTAGGAAGGGCTAGGCACAGCCTCTCTCTGCTAACATGTTTGTTTGTGGCACTGAGGATTGAGCCTAGGGCCTCACTCATGCTAAGCAAGCGTTCTGTCACTGAGCTACATCTCAGCCCTTTATTTTTGTTTTGAGACAAGGCCTTCAAACAGGCTGGCCTTGTGATCCTCCTGTCAGCCTCCTGAGCAGCTAGGACCACAGGTGTGCATCACCATGCTTGACCCAACATCTTTCTTTTTGGGAATCTGTTGCTTCCATTCCAGGTGACTGTGGTGGGCCATTACCACTCCCTGGCCAAGGGAAGAGGCCAGCAACCAACCCATGCTGAGCCCAACAGGCCCCATGAGTACTGTGAGAGAGGTGCCTCTCTCTACAGAGCTTGCCCAAAGGAGAGGACACTGGTGGCATCTTCCCCAGTACTCAGTGCAGGCCTGCCTAGCTTCAGAAGGAAGCTTCTGGGAAAACCAGTAAGGACAGCCTCACTGGAGCCCCTGGAGACAGCTGTGCCTGAAGCCCAGGCTGCTTGGGTATGTACTCACACTGGTTTGACTTGTCACAACAAGGCAAATCTTGACTGAATCTGGGAGCCAAGTGACAGTGTGAACCAGCAGTCTCTGTGTGTTTGGTGTGAATTATGTACACAGTCTCAGAGCTGGTGGCTCCTGCTCCTGTTAGACTGAGTCCCAGTGGTCTGTGGCTAATCCCTGTCCCTTAGGTCAGGTTCTCCAGAAACCACAAGTAAAGGAGGTGGCTGGGCAGGGGCTGGGCCTGGGGCTGAGCTGGTGTTGGAATCAGCTGGATCCCAGCCTGTCTATCTCCATTGGATCTGCAGACAGAAAGGCAGCCAGGACTGTGTCACCATGTCTTAAGTTACTTTTGTTGCTGCTGAGACAAAATGCCTAACACCAAAGTTAAAGGGGGAAAGGTTTATTTAGAGGACAGGTGAACAAGGACAAGGTCAGCCTCAGTGTATGAGGGTTTATTGAGCTTCATGTGTGATGCCTAGTGCTGGGGCTAAACTGTGGAGCAAATGGGCCCAGAACCAATTCCAGATAGGATAGGACAGGGATTGGATTCTCACTCATCCAGTGGGTGTCCACCTAGCAGCACATCGTGGACAGGAAGTACTGGCAAAGGTGAATCTACAGTGGGTAACGCCGAGCTCTGAGGGTGCCCTGAAAGGCTGCAGTTGCTGCTAGGGCAGTTATGCCTGTTAGTCTATTCCTTAGTTAGCTGCTTGGGGGCAGAGATGGTTTCTTAGAGTCCTAGGAGTCCAGACAGTCAGATTGGCAGCACTGGGAGGCCTTGGCTTCAAAGCCCACCCTCTCCTGTCCTACCCCGACTGTCTCAAGTCTGTAAAGAAAGGGACCTGCAAACAAAATCCCCACAGAATATGAAACCAGAGGCTTCACAGTCCATCCCTGAGCCTCCCAGCCTCCCTCCAAGGGACAAGCACACAGACAGTCCAACCTGCACAGGCAGCAGGGAGAATGAGCCAGGCCCTTCACAGTACATGGCCATTCTGTCACAGCAGGAACTGGAGAGCCAGGACCAGGAGTATGGACAGGAGGGAGCCCCCATCCAGGGGCTGAGCCCCAGAGGACACCTGGGGTGGGAGTGGAGTGAGGACCTGAGACAGCAGCCTGGACCCCCTTCCCGGACATGCTGGCCTCCATCTCCCTGGCCTAGCCTGGGAACTGTGGGAGGAAACTGTAGGAACTGCTAGTTCGCTACCCCTCCCAGTGCCTACCTGCAGGAGGTTGAGTCCAGGGTCCCGGGGAGGGTCCAGCTGGACTTGCAGGATTCCAGGCCACTTGCTATCAAAGTTTCGTATGGCACCATCTATGGGGTAAGAACCCACAGGGAACCTGGCTGGAAAACCCTTACACAGGGCCCAGCTCCCTGTGAACACACTGAGAGGTCCCTGGCATCTGGGCCGGGAAATACATGTTCATCGATAACAAAAGAAGGACCACTGTGCCAAGAGTGACTCACAAACTACAGTGTGTGTGTGTGTGTGTGTGTGTGTGTGATTTTTTTTGAGTCTGAGTCCCCCTATGTAGTTCAGGCTGGCCTTGAACTAACTATATAGGTTGGCCTCAAACTCACAGCAATCCTCCTGCCTCAGCTTCCCAAGTGCTGCGATTACAGAACTGTGCCACCTGGCCGGGTTTAGAAATGGTGCAATCCTGCAGCCTCAAGGAGGAGGGGAATACTTGTATCCGTGAGTTGCAAAAGAACACAAAAAGGCTTAGAGAAGGTAACCCAGAAGTAGGAAGTGGCAAAGTAGGGTTTCCAGTCCAGGCCTCCTAAAGTCCAGACTACAAACCCATGGGACCCCAAGGGGCAATATCGCCAGCTGGGACACCTGGGAGCATGGGGGGGGGGTTTCAACAGTGCTGGAAGTGGGAGTCTCACTGTGTTCAATTCCAGGTCCTCAGAAACCTGTTTTAACTCTCTCCCTCCCACCAGCCTTGGCCTTGAGGGGGTCTGTGACCTGGGCGCGAATTCTCCCAAGGTAAGGCGACAGCGGGAGGTGGAGAGAGAAAAGGCCTGCGTGGCTGTCGCAAAGACCTATTTACTTGGCTATAAAGTGGGCTCCCGCCAGTCTAGCGACTCTGGAAGAGACTGTCGGCGCAGCGCCCCCTCACCCAGGCACTTGTTCCTCGTAAAGAGCCCCCGGAAGGCTTCGCACTCCTCCCGCCGGTTTCCGCTGGCTCTGCAGTCACACCAGGGTGCCACACGCGCGCTCGCGTTATCCACGTAGTTGGGGGTGACTGTGGTGCCTGGGTGACCGCGAGGGCCGGATCACCAACTACAGCACCGGAGGAGGAATCCCCGGGAGAAGCTCCGCCCGCCCCTACCCGCGGCTCAGGCGTACCCACGAGGCCTGCGTAGGCGCGAAGGCAGCGGGGGCCCTGGTCCAGCAGGCAGCCTTCGGGGGCGCTGGGGACTGGCGCGCAGGAAGCTTGAAAAGCCCGGAGGCGGGGCCTGCGCGAGCGGCAGTGAGCAGGCATCGCCTGTCCCCGCCCCAGCGGGGGACGGAGGCCAGGTGCCCAGGGCAGGAGCACACTACCTTCCCTCCCAGCTTTGTGGGGTACAGCCCCACACCTCAGCAACTGCAGGGTCCCCGAGGGTCCCCGCCCCCCAATGCTCCCACCTCCCAAGTGCCCCCGCCCCGCATTGCCCCCCAGTGTCCCGCACCCCAGCACTCCCACCCACGAAACCCCCAATGCACACCCGAGCGCCCTACCCCCGCGCACCCGCACACCCGGCTCTGGACGCAGGCGTCCAAGGACTCCAGGCAGGAGGGCGGCAGGGCACCCGGCCCATAGAAGGCGCAAGCGGGAACGAAGGTCTGGCGCCGGCGCTCTGCGCACGCGGGGCCCACGCACTGGCAGAAGAGCAGCGCGTGGGTGAGCGCGGGCGGTCCGCGGGCGAAGAAGCGGCGTAGGGCGCGGTGGCACCTGGCGCGGGGACAGCTCCGGGGCGCCCGGCCCAGACAGCGCACCACGTACTCTGTGCGCAGCCGCTCGCACAGTGCGTCCGCCGTGCACTCCTCAGCTGCGTCCACGCAATGGTTCACTCCGGCAGCAGCTCTCGCAGGCCCTGTGGAGGGGTGGGTGGGCTGTAGTTCTCCCTGCACCTTACTGGTCTCCCCCGACAACCTCCTCGAAAGTTGAGTGATAATCAAAATTTGAGGCAGACAGGGTGGCCCAGAGGCCTGGCTGAGTGGCCCTGACCTGACAATGTTCGTTCATGAGAATGGACAGCAGCAGGTGGCGGGGTTCCCTGCACCACTGGGAATTGAGGGGGCGTGTACAAGCTGGGTCCACGCTCCTCAAACATCAACACTATCCCCAAAACTGCCCCATGCCACCGAGGAGCTCCACGGGGTTCCTCCGACCTTGGTTCCACCTGAAGGGGCAATACTGAGGTGCAGTGGCCACGTCGCTAATGAGACCTAACAGAATTGGCACCAAGAACCATAGACATCCCTCGTCCTCTCTTCTGGCCATGCTGGGGCACCTGACAATTCTCCTGCATTCTTCCCCCCATGCCCCATGGAGCCACTTTGGGTGGTCTGTAGCTTTCTGGTTCTCTTTCCTTTCTGTCCTCTGTGGTCAGGGTCTGACTCAGCCTTCCCAATCCGGTCTTTGGCTTCCTAGGCCCTCCAGCCTGTCAGCCAAGAAAGGGTCCCCGGTCCATTGGGCTGCAGTGTGTGGCTTGAGAGAAGCCGGGAGGGCATTCATGGGCTTCTTCGTGAACTCAAAGACCTCAGGGTGCATTCCTGGTTTCAGTGGAGTAGCCCAGTGACAAGGCACACCCCTAATGAGGCCAGAGTGGGCATTTGGCATGGCAGCCTCACCCCCAGAGGTCTCGTGGGCAGATGAGCTGTGCCTAGAGGTGCCACTGGACACACCTAAATCCAGCCAAGCCAGAATTCCCAGTAGGACATAGCAGCCCCTTCCTAGGACTTGGGTCATCAGCACCAAGCTAGACGATCCCCTTCCCCACCCCTCCCTGGAGAGGCTTCAATGATGAGAAGGCTTTCTGGCCCCAGTCTGAGGAAAATGTCCCAGCCTGTCCCTCACACATCTCTGTGTGGGGTGGGGTCTCCCCCCCCCTCTGGCACTTGCCATCTCTTTTTCTGGGCTGTGGGTTGATGGTGAGGATCATGGTTCTTGCTGTGGCTCCCATGCCTTCAGGTCTGCAGGAAGGACATTCACCCCAAGGACTTGGAAAAGGGTACAGGAGTGGAGGGGCTGAGGGCAGAGAGACGGGGCCTTCCTTTTCCTCCTCTCCCCCACATGAACGGAGGCCAGGAGCCCAGGGCAGGAGCACATTACATTCCCTCCCAGCTTCATGGGACACAGTCCCATACCTTAGCAACTGCAGCAGCACCCGTGTCACCTAAACTCTTGACCCAGCTGCTGCTTTGCACCCAGACCTCCTCTCCACTCTCAAAACTGTGCATCCCAGCCCCAAGATCTGTACCATAAACCTTTTCAAGGCTGAGTTCTCCATGGAATCTCTCCACCCTGCCTCCTGAGGCCGTGGGTGGAGGAGGGTAGTCCTGGAAGGCTATGGAGCAGGGGCAGAGGGCCCGTGCCCAGTAAGGCCCAGACTAGGAGTGGAGTTCGGGGCTAGGGAGGGAAGTCACTAAGGAGAGGAAAGTTCCTGGGAATGAGAGGTACCAGGCCCACTTGGGTAGGAGTGATCCAGCTGGGCCCCCAGATAGCTTTGCAAGGCCAGGTGTCCCCATCCCTGAGCACAGGCACCCCTTCCTGTGTCCCAGTTTTCCTGGAATCTCCCTCTGGTTTTCCTGTCCTGTCTGGGAAGACCTGGTGTGGAAGACTGGGGTCTGGGTGGACATAGACACTCACCCAGTAGTAGCAGCAGCAGCAGCAGCACAGGCCCCAAGCAGCTTGCCATGAGTACGAAGATAGGGACCTGAGGGCTGGAGGAGGGAGGTAGGAGAGCCGCAGTGGGCAGGTGGCCCCTTCCCAGTGCCTCCTGAGCAGGAGCAGGAGTGCCAGTTGTCTGCGCTGACTCTCACTTCCCCAGGAGGAGCCCTTGTAATGGTTTTGACATCCCGCCCTCACCCTCTCCACTGTCCCCACCCCAGGCCCCATCTTCAGGTGGCCCTGGAGCGTGACAGGCAGCACCAAGCACCTTTCTGCCCTCTACAGTCAGGCCCCCATGCACCTGGGTCCACACGGAAGCAGGAGGATGCTCTACCTTCCCACCCTGAGTGTAACTTTAGGAAGCCACAGTTTTCCTTTCTGTATGATTCTACCACTAGCCTGTTAATTTTACACTTGGATAGGCGTTTGCAAACAGAATGCTTCCCTCATGTCCTTTAGCCAGCCTCCCCCGTGCTAACATCTTGCATAAATCACAGTGCAGTTATTAAAACCAGGACATGAGCATTGGCGCCGTGCTGTTAGCTAAACCAGAGATGGCTCTGAAATCCTTGGTGTTCTTTTTCTGTGCCCAGATCCAGTGCAGGACCCCGCGCTGCATTCTGTCCTTGTGGCCCCTTAGTCCCCTCCCATCTGAGGTCGTTTCCCATCTCTCCTTATTCTTACCCTTGACACTTTTGAAGAAGGCCGGTTAGTTATTTTGCAGACTTTGCTTGAATTTACCTGATGTTTACATCTGATTTCTAGGAGGCACAGCATTGTTTTCACTATAAAAGTGTTACTTTTTTGGTTTGCTTTGTATTTTGGTTTTTTGAAACAGCATCTCACTATGTAGTCCTGGCTGGCTTCAAACTCAAGGCAATCCTCCTGACTCAGCCTCCTGAGTGCTGGGATTACAGGTGTGTGCATCCATGAGCTCCACCTAGGGGTTATTCCATTAAAAATGTTGAGGGGCTGGGAAGGTAGCTCAGCGGCATAAGTGCCTGCCTGGTGAGCGCAAGGTCCTGAGTTTGATCCCTGGTACAAAAAAAAAAAAAAAAAAAAAGTTGAAATTTAAAACTGTGCATCGAGATTTAAATGATAAACAAGGAAACAAGTGATTTGTTTTGACTTTCGATGCAATGACAGCGGAATTGGAAGACACAGTCGGGTCTAGAGGGCCTGCCTTCCTTGTTAGAACCCACACACAAGTCTTCCTTCTTAGAATCCAGTACCTGACTGAGAGGAGAAATTTGAATCTCCTAGAAAGACAGCCACCGATAAATCCAAATGAACAGAAAAATTTTGAAACAGAGAACAGACATAAAAGCCTTGAGGTTCGTCTGAAATTCTGTTCATTTCCTTTCATAGTACTGGAAATTAACCAGGGCTTTTTGTGTGCAAAACGAGTGACATCCCAGGGCCTCTTTATGCTGTGCGTTATTGCCTTTTAGGACAGGGTCTCCCCACATAGCCCAGGTTTTCTTCCCAACTTGCCCACAACTTGGCTGTGATATTCCTGCCTCAGCCTCCAGATTACCATTTTATTTTTTATGGCTGAAATTTAAATCTAACTTTAAATCTAAATTTAAATCTAACATATATAATATTAATACCATCACTTTTAGAGTGTGAACTATTAGTATTACTAATGTGCAGAAAGGTCTGAAGTGGAATGCAGCGAGCTCCGAGTACCTGTGAATCAGGATGAGAGATACATCTTAGAAACAGAGCTGGACACCTAGAGTGCCCTGAGCGCCTCCAGCGCAGTTCCTCTCCCTCCTTCCTACCCACCACTTCGTTGTTTGTCTTTAAGTATGTTTTTGGTTTTGGTTTGTTGCTTGAGGTTTTCCACATGCAGGTTAGTGAATGGATTCGGTCTGCAGTTTCCCTTGCATGCAGAGTCTCGGCTAATTCCCTCTGGAGTACGTTGGTGTTGCAGAATGAGGGGCAGAGCCCCTCTGGCTAGTTAGCTGGAAGGGTTTCACAACACTGAGATGAGCTCTTTCTTCAAATCCAAGAGAATGTCTTTGAGAAACAACCAAACAGCTAAGCCCGGTGCTTTTGGGAGCTAGGCGTTTACTGACTCAGATTTCACTGGCAAATACAATACTATTGGGACATTTACTAAGACTTTTCTTTTTCATATATCTGTGGTTTTATCTCTTTTATTCATTTTTTTGTCTGTTTTTGAGACATGACTTCAGTTAGGTAGCCCAGGCTGCCTCTACCTGGAGACTCTCCCACCTCAGCCTCCTGCGTGCTGGGATTACAGGTGTGCACTACCATATCCAGCAAGCCCAGGCTGGCCTTAAACTTGTGACAGTCCTCCTACCTCAGCCTCTTAAGTGCTGGAATTATAGGCCTGCACCACTGCACCCAACTTCATTTGTCAAGAATTGAGCGCTCTGCCACACTCCCAAGTGGGATGATGACTGTGTCACCTTTTCCTGTGAATACTTGTAAGCTGTTTTATTTGGCACATTCACACTTACAACTATTAAATCTTTCCTATATAATGTAATAATCTTCTCCACACCAGATGATGTCTTGAAATTTATTTTATCCCCATTATTAAAATGGGTACTCCAGTTGCTTTTATTTGTTTTTTAATGTAGTTGGCATGGGGTCTCACTACACAGCTCGGACTCATAGTGATCCCGTTTTCAGCCTCCCCAGTGCTGGGATTACAGGCATGCGCCATCACATGGGGTCTCAGTGGCTGGCTCAGGGCACCCGGGGGAGGGGTGGTGCAGCATGTGGTGCCTGGGATCAAACCTGGTTCCCGTGCTTGCCTGTGCAGGCTCTTGGTCTGCTGAGCTACCTTGCCAGCCCCGGATTGCTTTTATACTTGTGGGATATAGTGGGGTTTTTTTTTAATCATGAAAAATTTTATTCTGCATCAGGATATCTGGAAAATGAAGCTGCATTTGGGGCACTTTATAGATGAAGAATGATCCATATATAGTGAGTACAAGACCCAATTACAGAATTATCTCTTAGCTAGTACCAGATACTCCAAATTACCAAGGTTAATGTGAAAGGAAAGCATGATTTGTCACACTAAAAGGATAGAAGTGAAAAATATGGCAGAACTTATATGAGCAGATATAAATTCAGCACCTACCTGTATTTTTTTAAAAAACAAGTATTAAAAAAATCAAATTTTAAGAAAGAGCTCTGGCCTTAATTAAACACATCTCACCTGAAATCCAACAAGAAAGCCAGTCCATGATTTTTCATATTTTGTTGTTTTTTTTT